TCTGTAAGAGAAAATTAAATTTGTTATAATAATAAATATTATATTTAATAATTTTTAAAATAATAAATTTAAAATTATTATTTATATATTATTTTATAAATTATCATTATTTTTAGTAAATATAGTAGCTATCTATATATTATTCAAATCATATTTTTTGTAATTTCTAAAGTTAAAATAGTAATTATTAATATTTAAAGCAATTACAGAAAATTTTTAACAAGAATTAACTAAATATAATAATAATAATAATAATACTTTTTAATATTTAAATTATACTTTTTTAGAACTTAAATTATATTTAGAGATTTTTATATAAGTAATAATAATAATATATATGATATTAATTAATAAATAAATTAGAATAAATAATAATAGTATAATAGTAATATAAATAAAAAGATAAAATAATCATAAAAAAGATAAATATACTTGATTTTAAAGTCAAAGCAAGAAATATATTAATAAAAGCAGACCAATCTAACTCTAATTTTTACTGTAAAATATAATTATAACAAGATTATAATTTTAAAAATTTTAAAAATAAAGAAATATTAATTATTTATATAACTAACTGAATCTAAAGCAATAAAAATGACTAATTAGTCAGCAAAATTTATAAAATTGAAAATTATTTTGAACACTTAATTGTAATAGATACTTTTATAAAATACAATCTTAATAAATAAACTTTTATAACTTTAAGTAAAGAAATTTATAATATTATTAGAAATTTTGAGAATAATTTTAAAGTAAGTAATAATTAATTTAAGAAATGATATAATATTTGACAATTTAAAATTTATAGTCAATCAAAGAGTATATCAATTAAGAAACTTTCTGAGTAAAAATAAGAATTAATTAAATTATTCTTATAATATAAATAGAGAATATCTATAATATCAATAAAACTGATTTTTTTTTCAAATGATATCTAATTAAATACTTATAATCAAGATTATTAAAAGAAAGAAGAAAGATAAGAATCAAATAATTATTTAACTTTATATAAGTGTAACTGGAACAAATAAATTGAAATTATTAATTATTAGAAAGTTAATAAAATTCTGATATTTCAAGTATATTTCAAAGATAAATCTGAATATTAAATATAAAGTCAATAAGAAAATATAGATAAAAGCTAAGATCTTTAAATATTAAATAAAATCTTTAAATATTATTTTTCAAATTAAATATAAAAAAATTTTACTCTTGATTGATAATATTTTTTCTTATATATTCAAAGAGAAATTAAAGAATATCAAATTAATACATCTTGAAAACTATTAATACCAGAGATGAAATGTTATATCTTAAAATCAAGAGTGATTGATTTTATAATTAAAGCATGAAAAAATATAATTTCTCAAATAATTATTAATTATTGATGAAAAACAGAAATTATATTAATAAATAAATGAAATCAACCAAATTTGAATATACATAGTAAAGATAATATGAGATCAGAATCAGATGTTAAAGAACTAATTTTGAGTATCTCTTTAAATAGCCCAGTATTAATAACCAAAGAATATATTAATAGTTTGAGAATTAAAGAAATTAATATAAATAAGACAACTATTATTAAACAAATTTATCAACTGTTAGATCCTGAAGATAGTAATAATAACTGTGATATCAAAGTTGAGAAAATTTCTCATTCTACTGCCTTAAAGAAATGTAATTTGCTTTTGCAATATGTTGAGTAACAAGATCCAAATTTTGTAGAGGAATTAGATTTATCAAGATTACAAAATTTATTACAATGTATTTAGGCAAAGATGTTGAAAACAAGGTAGCAAAAAAGATTAGCAGATTTTTTCTAGTGTTTTACTGCTAAGGTCAGGTAAATATAAATAGTTTGGGAGGAGATAAAAAATCATTTTGGAAGGATAATGGGAAATAAGTCACGAATGAGATAGATATTCATTTTCAAAGAGTGATAGAATGTGGTAATGTAATTAAGACCTATTTGGAGTTAGATAGAGATAATAGTAATCCGTTTTGAAATAATAATGTGGTAAAAACGCATGTATTAATGTTTATTTTGTAAATAAATGAAAAATTGTTTTAAACAGTCTAAATTGTGTACTAATCCTAACCCTAACCCTACCTCTCGGAATTATCAACCCCCGCATGTATCAACAAAAATGCTCGGTCCTGTGAGATTGATAATAACGGGATGCCACTGTACATGTATATTGTACATTAAATAATAAACATATCTTAGATTATTCATTTGTGCTAAGTTTACCTTTCACATCATTTATTCTTTCAAATTTGCTTTCTTAATATTTTAATAAGATCCAAGTAAGATAAACAAAAGAATAATAAAGCTATTGAGATAATACGAACTAAACACACAAAACATATCTTTATTCTGATATAAGTTGTTCAGGGATCGGATAACCGCTAGACAAGTGTTCTTCTGCAAATAGCTTCTGACTGCATGAAGATTATACCTTTTTCAAACGCCATTTTCTTCCTAGCATCTTATCTTACGCAAAAGGTAATACATCAATATCATCCAAGGATGAGTCCTTTTATCTATAGCTACACAAATAATGAGCCTAGGATCTTGAACCTTTGAATGATTATTGTATTCAGATTTGTTGGATAAATATCAATCAGTCTCCTCAATATCTTTTGGCGAGTATTCTCTTTCAATATACTTGTATTTTTTTGCAGAATATATTATAAGAAAGCGCCAAAGACCAATTTCTAATGAAGATATTCACGTCACCTCTGTACGCAGATCCCGGAAAAATTAGACGTTAAAAATTGATTTTGTTAATTGTCTTCTCGTCATTTTTATTTGCTAGATTTAGGCATTTGTTTCCCCGTATTTTCCCTTTTTTGTGTCGGATTGTTAATCAAAAATTTACATTTTTATTTGTTTGCATAACCTGAAATGGCATTTTTAAATCAGAGCAAACTATCACGTGGAATATGCGCAGAAAAAGAGTATTATGATCAATAATTCCATCATTGAAAAGTGTAGTTATTAGATGATGACATACAATTTATTAATCAAACTATTAATATATTCCTTTATTGATTTCAGAATTTGACTTTATTTATTTCCATCATTCGACCAAATAAAAAAACTCACATTCGCTTTTTTAATATGACCAATGTTATAAACATGTTTTTGAATGGTGTCGAAAGAGCCAATCGAAGGAGCAAAGATGGATATGGACCTATAAGAAATACTCGCTCTCTAATTATTAGATCTTTTAATGAAGTTAATCTAAACACAGAAAGTAAAATTATCGTATCAAACCTTGGATATAAAGTGTCCGAAGCAGATTTATACGAGCTATTCGGTCAGATGATAGGTCCCGTATGTGAAATCACGCTCGACTATGATAAATTCGGTCGTTTTAAGGGATCAGCAATAGTTGTTTTTGCTAGAGGGGGTGATGCAGCTAAAGCGGTAGAACGATTTCGAGGCGTGACATTAGATGGTCAAGAATTGAAGATCGAAGTAATTGTTATGCCGCGGTCTCGCAGACTTGGGCAAAGGATTGGATCTAAAAGTGATTTGAAGAACGAACAATTTAGAGGCGGAAGGGGGCGTGGAAGATCACAGGGACCAGTTCCTACCAAAGATCAACTTGATGCCGAACTAGATGAATATATGCAAATCGAGGTGAATATTAATGGTTGATATGATATTGAAGTCAATTATTCACTTTGAGATTATTGATCATATTTATTTGTATGCAAGGATTAAGTTAATATCGATGTCAACCAATATAGTAATGTATTCATCAAAACATTACAATTTATTTTGCTCGTTAGATATTCTCGTGTGTGAAATGGAAAATATAATTGTACAATTATTTAGAATTCTATCTATTTATAGAAGTTTTGCTAATAACACATTTCATTATACATGTGCAAATTTTTGATAAATTTCCATATTTAGATTAGTCTTTAAATAACGCCATGCACGTTGTTTCGAATCACGGCCCGCATTAAGCTTAATTCAGGCCGAAATTTGAAATTACACCTTGCGCGTTATTTCGCAAAAATACGATATATAGTTAATAACAAATAACATATTAAATCTTTTTTTATTATTAAAAATTTACAAGTCAGATTATGAGAACCAGAATATTAATTTTGCATGATTTTAAGTTATTTATTCAAGTATATGATTTTTATATATAATCACTTTCTATATATTACATCTTTCTGGTTTCAGTATAGAAATTTAATCTTTATATAGTATATATTTTGTGAAATCCATATATCATAATGAAGTATATAGTATAAAAGTCATTAACTTCTTAAAAAAATAAAGAATTTTTCTCTTTATTACAAAAAAGATAATCTTATAATAAAGTTATACTAGATTTATATTATAATTTTTCCTTAACTTCTTATATATTATTTCTATTATTTATTCATTTAGTTATTTTTACTTTATATATTATATATAATTTTTTTAATAATTTTTCATACTTTTATTTATTTTTTTATTTTTTAATTTTTTAGAAAAGTTTATTTTTTTTATATCTTTATTTATCTTTTTAATCTTTTTAATCTTTTTTATTTTTAAAAATATATTAAATAAAAATTTATAAATAAAATTAATAAAGATTTATTTTTCAATATAATTTACTTTAATTTAAAAGTTATATCTGAATAATTTATCATATTTATTTTATACTTTAATTTTAATAACTTTAATAACTTATAGTAATACTAAAATTGTATTAAGAACTAAATTTATTAATAAAATATAGTGAAAATCAAAATTTTCTTTCTATATTAAAATTTATAAATTTATTAAGAAATAATTTTTATTTTATATTAAAATAAAATTCACTAGTTATAGTATAATATATTTTTTTAAGATTTTTCTAAAAGAATTATTCTAATTATAAAGTTAATATAAAAATTTTTACTAATTAAACATAAAATTTAATTAATAAAAATTTTATATAATTAGAATAATTCTTTCAGAAAAAATTTAAAAAATCTGAAAAAAATATATATTAAATTATAATTAATAAACTAAATTTTAATATAGAAAGAAAATTTTAATTTTATTTAGAGTTTGATTATTAGATTGATAACTAGAGTTATTTTCATTATATTTTGATTATTTACTAGTTTTTATACTTTCTATTTGTTAATTAAGTTCTTGAATTACTACTAATATAGCATTCAGTATTAAGTTATTCTAGATCTGAAATTGATAATATTCTTAGATTGGAATATTGATATTAGTTTTTTCTATATTATTGATAACTTATATCTAAAATAATCTTACATTAAATTTAAAAGTTTATAATATTTTAAAAATTACTTTTTATATTAATTTTATAAATTATTAATAAATTATTTTATTATATTTTATTAAATATTTAAAATATAAAAAAATATTTTATAAATAAAATTTTTAAATAATTTAACATATTTAAAATTAATATAATTAAAATTTTAAGTAATTATATAATTAATTTATATTAAAAAAATATTATATATGAATTATATATTTATTATATTAATAATTTAATTTAAAAATTCTAAATATTTAAATTTTAAAAAATTATAATTTAAAAAGCTATTTATTTATTAAAATTTTAATATAATAATATAATATAAAATTTAAATAAAAGAATAAAAGTTAAGTTTCAAAATTAATTTTTTAAAATTTTTTAAAATTTAATATATTAATAAAAATTTAATATATATAATTTAATATAATATTAAATAAATAAATTTTAAATTTAATTTTATAATAATTAACTTATTAAATTATATTTATTTATTTTTATAAATATATAATTTAAATATTTCAATAAATTATAATTAAGATTAATATAATATTAAATAAATATTTTTATCTATAGTAGCAATCAAAAATAATGCAATGCTTAAATTTTTTACTAATTATAATTAGTAAAAAATTTAAGTGTTGTATTATTTTTGATTGTCACTGTATATTTTAATAATTATATATTTAAAAAATATAAAATTTTATAAATATATTCTTTAGAATATTCTAAATAAGATTTATTAATAGTATAAAATATATTAATTTAATAAAATTAAGTAAAATTTTATATTAAATATATAAATAAGATATTTATATAAAATAATTTTAAATAAAAAATTATTTAAAAATATTTTTAATAAATATATTATTATCATAGTAATATAAAATTTCTTAATTTTATAATCTTTCTTTAATTATAAGAAATTTTATTTTTCTATTATTTTATAAATTATTATATAATTACTCTTATTTTTATATAATTATATATATTTTCTTTTTTCTTTATAATTACATTTTTATTTTTATTTTTATTTGAGATTTATATTTTCAATTTATATGTCATATATTTTTCATATTTTTAGTAAAATAGTATATTTAAAGATTCTTTTTTAATTTTTGATAAAATGATAGAATATTTATATAAATATTAATATTTAAAAAATTAATAAAATATCAATATTTGAAATATTTATATAAATATTGATATTTATAATATTAATATTTTAAATATAGATATTTTTAATATTATAATAGTAAATTATAGTTATTTATAATATATATATTTAATTAGTGATACTAGAATAATTTATATATTTGAAAAATATATAAAAAAATCTACTATCTCAGCTTAATATAAATAGTTTTGAATTAAATTATTTGAAAAATATAATTAAAAAGCTTATTATTATAATAATAATAATAATCTTTTTGAAGATTTTTTTTCTAATTATACTAGTATTCTTTCTTTTATTCAGTTTTATTTCTTTGATTATATAAAGTTAATTTTAATTTGAATTATAATATTATATTAATTTTTAATTTTTGATATTATTTTAAAAGTAAAATATCTTTACTATAAATAAATTATATTTTTTTGCTTTATTTATTTTATTATTTTGAAAGTAAAAGATTTTTACTATAAATAAGTCATATTTTTTTAGTTATTTAGTTTTTATTTATCTTAATTTTATTTTCTTTAGTTATAGTTTTTTTTTATTAATAATAACTTTACTATTAAATTATTTAAGTCTTGAATTATATTGATTAATAGTGACTTTACTAACTGATCTTTATAATTTTCTTAATTTATTTTATTCTTTTACTATTTAATTATCTCTTTAAAAGATAATATCTGTAAATATTAATATAGATCTTAGAAATCTTTGTTATTATTGAAAGTATAATCTAATTCTCTTCTCTTTATCTTTTAATTAATTTAGTCTCTCTCAACCTAATATTATTAAAATGAATTTAAATAAAAACTTATTTATCAGATTTGTTATAATAATATTTAAAATATTTTTAATAAATAAATTAAAAATATTTTATAAAAATATATTTATAAATTTAAAAAAAATTTTTATTATATATTTATTTAATAAATATTAATTAAAAAAAGATTTTATTTTATTAATTTTTATAAGAAATAATAGTAAAAATAGAATTTTTATTATATTTTTTATGAAAATTATTAAATAAAGTCTTTTTTAATTGATATATTAAATAAATATATAATAACTTTTTTAAATTTATAAATATATAAATAAAAATATTTATTATTATTACTTTTATTCTTAACTATAATTATAATTATTTATATATTTTATTTTAATAATATTAAATAAATTATAAGAATTTTTAATATATTAATATTATATATAAAAAATTATTTAATTATTTTAAGTTAGTATTATTATAATATAATTTTTTTTATAATTTCTATTTAATTTATTATATATTTTTAATTAATATATTATTATATTTATAATTATTATTTATAATATTTATTTTATATTATTAATTAATTAATAAATATTTTTTTAAAATATTATTTAATTTATTAATAAGTAATTATATTATTACGGTGAATTGATAAGTGGGTTTTCACTTTGATTCACCCTAACGATATAGTGTTGGAAAAGACTGAAATAATAAAAGGTAAAGAGAGGGGAATTAGACTATAACTTTCAATAATGACAAAGATTTCTAAGGTCTGT